AATGCAAACTTTGGAATAACTCCAGTACTGAGGTACAGTGATATGTGTCCAGGAATACTTGAGGTATCAGGATGGTTTTGTCAATTACACTCACATATTTCATTACAAGTCCTATAAATGTTCCTACTGCAAAATATGTGGCTTCTCAGTAGCTCAAGGGCAGTGCAGGGTAAGAAACCAAAGACAGGTGGATGTTTTTTTCTGAAGCTCTTGTTGTTAATCTATTCTAGCAAAGTGAAACATTAAAAATGCAGTCTGAAAATCCTTGAAAACTGTATCTAAGTTGATGCAGATTTTGGAGGATAGCACAATGTAGAAACAAGAAAGGAGATTGATTTTATGTAAATTATTCAGAGATTGGCATTCGTATGCATTATTTATCTATGTATGTATGGTGCCCCATGAATATTAAATCTCATCATGTTATTTGACATATACAAACTATACTTTGTAACTTCATTAATACTCCATTGTTATGTCTTTTCCATACATAAATTCAACTGGCAAGAATTCATTTGATTTTGTTCTAACCAGATTGCAGTTCCTAGGTTTTTATCAAATTTAATCATGTAACACTGCTTATGTCCAGTTGCTCAGTTATTTCAAAGTTGTTTATCCCACTTAAAACCAGCAGCCAACTGAAACTAGATTTAGGAATGATCCACTAGCAGTGCAATTTCTCAGAGGCCATCAGAAGGCTGTAAAGAATATAAATACACATTTGTTTTCAGTCTCCCTGTGTTGGGTTTTACCCCTCTTTTGATGAAGTTTAAGATTGTATTCATTGGTACCTGCACTGGTATTTTAATCAACAGTGTTTTAATCAATAATGATCAATAATTTAATCAATAATTAAATTATAATTTAATGGTGTTTTAATCAATTAAAATCATTCCTTATCCTGTTCTCAGCAATCACACCATCCTTGGTGTTGGGGCTAGTGCAAGCTCTGGGGACTGCTCAGTCCTAAGAAGGTGTAGAGGACGGATGATTTTGCTGGGTTCCTCTCATGGTTTTTGGTTGCTCCTTTGAATCTTTTTAAATTTCCCTTGCCAAAACTCCTAGAAAAGTAAGGAAACCAAAAGGGATACCCCCCCCCTCCATGACTGCTGTGTACTGGCAGAGCTATGGAGGAAAGCTTAACCAAAAAATCTGTTTTACTAGTTTCATCCTGTTCCCTGCTCCAGACAGCTCTGCATTTTTCTGGTTACCATGTAACCTGTAGGAATGAATTGGGGAATGTATTTTTTTTTTCCTGTGTGGTTTGTTATAGGGAAAAAATAATAATCTGATCATGTAATTGAGGAAGATGATGAAGTCTATTTAATGCGGAAGAATTTCTGCTTGTATAAGGACTGAAGAACTCATCTTTAACATACATGTGCTCCCAAAATCTCTCTTCCCTAATATGTTTATCATATAATTATGACTTCAAGCTCTCCTCCCTCAAATGAAGGCGTATCGAAGTGCCATATATTATCTTAGAATAGACTTCTTCTATGCAGGGTGTCTAATCTTTGTTCTCCATGACAGCATTTTAAGATTTTCTCAGATAATAACTTTTTGAACTTCTTGTTCATGTCACTGGATCCTGAAGCTGCCTCTTTTCAAGATGGTCTTCTCTGCTTTGGAAAGTGTGCAATGCTTGCTTCAGAGCTAAATAATGAGAATGTGACCCTGATGCTACAAAAGCCAAAAACAAACTTTCCACTGATTTCAAGAGCCAGAACTACCTTTATATTCTCTTAAATGTTTCTGGATATTGATCATTTTTATGGCAGAAATATCAGAAACAAGTACATCCACAGTGGGAGTTCCTCTTATTCTTGATAACTCTTCTATAACTCGGAAGTGTTTTCAGCATGGGGACACCAAAATGGATTTGTACAAAATCTGTTGAAACTTCTGAAAACATCAGTGTTAGTCTCTGTCACTGTGAAGCATATATAACACTCATTTAAATATTTTTGTGTTTTATCACATGCTGTGTGTGACATATTTGTCTTGCATTACAAATAAGAAATCTAGAACACATTTGTGTCCTAATTTTGCTATCAATCCTCTCTTTTTAATATATCTAAGCACAAAACTGATAATTATGATTTAAAACACACACACACACACACACACACAAAAACTACTTTTCATAGCTTAGGGGTTTAAACTTTTATATTCTTCCTTTATTCTGAATGTATCCCTCAGGAAATAAGTCTGTAATAATCACCTTGCCTACACTTCTTCAGTCACACATTACATTCTCTCTCCCACTTTCTTTCAGGTTAGTATTAATGTTTGTCAGCAGCAGACTTTTCTTCTTTTTTTCTTTTTTTTTTCTTGAGGTTCTGAGTCATTACAGTAACAGTTATATTCTCAATAGAGAATTCAGGGTAGGAGAAAAAAAAAAACACAAAACAAAACTAAAAAACAGCCCTCTTGCCTACATGTATCTGACTGTTAGAAAACCAGAAGGCTACTCACTTCTTTTAAATGCCAAGTGTTCAATTACTTTCCTCTTGAGGGTTTTTTCTTTTGTTTTGTTTGGTTTGGTTTGGTTTTCTTTTTTTAATTTGAGAAAAAATTAAATGTGATGCAGTAGGTTATTTAAGCTCCTGATGAGGAATGCCAACTTCAGAGTTTTCCAAAGCATGACAATTTTTCTCCAAGTATTTTTCTGAGGTCGGTTGGATGTTTTTATATTCTGCCTCACAAAGAGTTCAATCTCAGTCTAGTCCTCTGGGGGTATCTGTGTATATTACAAAACCATTGCATTGATTATCTTGCATAGGAATCTGTGCTGATAAGAGGTCTGGCCAACAGCAGAGGTTTTGCAAGTTTGGCTTCAGGGGTTGATAGAGCACAGGGAAGCTTTCAAATAGCTGGTAAGCAGTTTCTGGTTCTGGCTGTTGTTGCACTTCCCTGTCCTGCCCTGTGAGGTGCTCTGATGTTCTTGGAAACAAAGACAGAGAACGCATTTCAATGCACCATACATTATTTCAAATGTTCACTGTCAAACTTTCAGAATGAGCTTCAAGGATATGTGAACCCTGATCTGCAGACTATATTCAATACCGAACATGTTTCACCTGAACATGTTTCTAGACATATAGGCTTTTCAGCTCAACTGGAGGTTATGGATTTCCCTATTGAGGGACTGAGGGTTAAATGTGGGACCGTGCTACCATCCTAAAGGGTTTGTAATCGGGCAGGCAAGGATTTCCCTCATGGCGATGAATGCCACAGAAGCATATAAATAAAAGGCACTGTTACCTTTCTTGTTGCTAAGTACCCCATAGTCAGAGAGAGCTCTTGGCAGCTGTCAGAACTACTGCACAATAATTTAAAGTGAGCTGTAAATCCCTGAAATGGATGAATTTTGATTATGCAATAGTAGAGAGGTTGCTGGTAATTTCAATGACTGTGCACATCAGTCAAGTTGGAAGATGACCAAGTGGATTGAAAGGGTGATGACAAAGAGGACCAGAAGAACACAACAAAGGTTAATTGATAGGTGTTATAAAACATTCTCCAGCATGCAAAGTTATATTGTTCTCAGCTTCCTTTGGACTAAGAGATCCAGTAACTCTAAAAAAAGAGAAAAAGAGAAAGAGAAAGAGAAAGAGAAAGAGAAAGAGAAAGAGAAAGAGAAAGAGAAAGAGAAAGAGAAAGAGAAGGAGAAGGAGAAGGAGAAGGAGAAGGAGAAGGAGAAGGAGAAGGAGAAGGAGAAGGAGGAAGAGGAAGAGGAAGAGGAAGAGGAAGAGGAAGAGGAAGAGGAAGAGGAAGAGGAAGAGGAAGAGGAAGAGGAAGAGGAAGAGGAAGAGGAAGAGGAAGAGGAAGAGGAAGAGAAAGAGAAAGAGAAAGAGAAAGAGAAAGAGAAAGAGAAAAAAAAGTATTGTTAGCAAGTAGCAGATATCCTTGCAGAACATGAAGGATAGTTTTCTTCTGTCTTCCATTCTCCATTGCCAGTCTTTCTTTTTTTTTTTTTTTCTTTTTCTTTCTGTTTTTCTATCTGAAACCCATATAGCTCACCCATATCTTCAGTACCGTATGGATGCTTCGAAGAAGCATTTAAGAAACCTTAGAGTGGAAATCCCTGTAATGATCTGCTCAGAGTGAATCTTACTTTCTAACCTGTACCAAATAACCCATAGTGTGAGGGTTTATTTATCTTTTTGGGCTTCTTCGTAAAAGTCAAAAAATCCATTGTATTTGATTTAAACAGCTGTCTGATGCTGAAACAAAATCTGACGTTTCAGAATCCCCAGTTTTGAGCATCATTTAGGTTTGGTGGCAGTGCATTTCAAAGGCGTTTATAGCTGATCTCTTGAGCAGAATATCTGCAAGCAAGGGAAGACTAAGCCTGATTGTTTCCTGACACTTCTCTTGGACAGAACTTCTGCAACAAAAATTTTCAAAGGATCACTTTTATCCCTGCCTTTGTCACTTTCTGACAAAAAGTTTTGGGGAACTATTCTAGGAACCAGGCTTCCATCCCTCTCATGAGGGATGTTCTGTGCAACTTATTAACATTGCTTTTGTCAGCCCCTATTGCTTGGCTTCATTTGGGTTCCAAACAATGTGTGACTCCAGAAATGTTAGCTAGATGAACTGGAAGCCATCAAGAAATAACTGTGCTGTATTTCAGTTTATTAACTGTCCAAGCCCACTTTCAAACCTGGAAAAGGTATATTATTATTAAAAAGATCTCAGTAGAATCATATTCTGCTTTTACGGTTTGTGAATGTGCATGTTTAAGCTATCATGACATGACACTGTGCTATTTGATTTATGTTTTTACTGATGCTTTGACTGAGGAGTTTGTTGCAATGCACTGTTAAATGGAGGAAAAATCAGAAACTGCATCAGACAACCACTCTGTATTTCATTCTAGAAAATAGCTGGCAATTATAATTACTCACTGTGTTTCTGGCTCAGAATAAAAGTGGCATTGCACAAAAACCACACTGAACATTCGTCGTGATTAGAAAATGCTCCACACCTTGGAGTGCAGTGGATACATAAGAATAATTTTAAATGCAAATTAAATTGTGGGGGTAGCAAAGAGAACAGATAAACGACAGTAAAACAAAGCCTTTCACTTTCTTCAAATTAGCAGGCTAATGTAGTATAAAAAAAAAAAAAAAAAGCAGTTCTACTCAGATCTGTGCTAAGAGCTTTCATTTCATCATAATATAAAACAGCAGATCCGTCACTTTTCTCTGTTCAGTACTCTTGATTTTGAGGTTGAAGTGAAAATTAGAAGCTGTTCATTCTGGCTCACAGACTAGGTTGCATTTACTTAGTCTTATTCCATAACAGTAGGATGGAAAGAGGTCAGTAACAGTGGTAAGTACTTATCTCCTGCATGTGATTTTATTTATTTATTTTAAAAATTTTTCATAGTGCTTTTGCTTTTGATCAATGTATATTTCCTACAAAAAGCTACATCTTGTATTTTGTATAAAGCTGTGTGTTATGCAGAAATGCAATGATTCCTAGAGAATGCTTGTATCAGATGTTATAGCACCTTCAAGAATGAATGAATTACTTAAAGTAGGAATTCTGGAATAGGAGAGATTTCTGGATAATCTATATATTTCATAGCATCTGTGGAATGTTTTTGTGTTGTTTTTACTGTATGCCTTGTCCAACAAGCAGTACCAGATAAGAAATGAATATTTTCAAGGTAGTATTTGCATTAAATCCATAGCAAAACATTTAACAGTCTCATTACCCTTGTGGTAAATGATGAAGAAAGTAAGTGTTTTGCTTACTGGAAGCAAATTATTGCACAAAACACAATGTTACAGTTAATCATTATGAAACACTTTAAAGTATCTCAGAATACAAGCTGCAATGAGGAAGATCAGAGAGAAAAAAAATAATCTTAAGGAAACTTGATGCAGTGTATTTTTCTATTTTTTTATTATTATTATTATTTTCCTTAGGAAAGTTTTTATCAAATCAAAACCAGGGGCTTAATTTTTCAGTATGAAGGGTGAGGGGGAGTGGAGGATATGATCATAGTGTCACCTCCTGTTGCTAAGTAACAGCATCTCCTGGCCATTTTTATCTGATAAAGGAAGTCCAGTTGACGTTATGCATTATTCATCAGAATTCCTATCAAACAATCAAAATTGTTTGCTTACACTGGGGACATTTTCTAAGATCAAAGAAACCTTCCTTGAAACTACTGGAGCGTACACGACTGCCAGTCAGCTCTTGATATTTTGCAGTAAGTATAATTTCTGGTCTGGGAGTGCTACAGCCAAGTGAATTGCTGAGGAATTTTAAAAGTTTGCTCATCGGGTTAGGCTTCTGAATTTTAGAAAGGACTGCATGTTGATCGATGAAAACCAAATTAAAGAAAAAAGAAAAAGCTTTGAAACCCTGGTTTCCTGATTTTTGCCAGCATAATTAAAAGAGTTGCTTGAAGTAAGGGTCTTGGTCTCCCTGCCCAAACCTTTCCGTTGGGTTTGTACAGAAAAGGACTAGAGGTATTTTTGTCGGTTTGTCTGTTGTGCAGAGCTGTTTGTATGCTTATGATTATATGCTGTAACTAACTGAGGTGTGGAAGAGAGATCTGGGTTGTGCCTTTTCTTCAAATCTTGGGTTTTTATGTGAGTTGGTGAGAATAGAGGAAAATGCAAGGACATTTAGCAAGAGCCCGACTGGAGAAGGGTCAGGCTGATGTGCATAATCCTGGGAACTCTGCCTGGCAGAGGCACACTTGATTCAGTGTGCATCTTTGTCAAAAGTAACCTAGGATTTAAACAGATCCAAGGTTCTGAAGAATGCCAAAAATATAAACCTTAACTAAGACACAGTGCTAGGAGTATCCTACCATTTCTTAATGGTTGCTCTTATCACCTCTTTTAAAACTGATGGTGGGATGTTCTGCTGCTACTTCTGGTCAGTAAGTAGGAAGGAGTAAGGAAAGGTTGGTTTCTGCCTGTTTAGGCAGAATGAAATGTCCAACAAAGTACAGCTTTGTGTCTTCCTTCTTAGTGCTGTGTTTTGTTGTGAGCAGCATTAATGCCGTCTTTACTGTAGTCTATTACAATGGAGTCTTCTCAGAGGTCCTGGCATTGCTGCTGTCCATGGCACTCCCAATCTCTTCTGCTCTCATTTTTAAGAGCAAATGTAACAGGCAGAGTAACATAAGTCTGTACTGTAAGAAATGGAGACTGTGGCAAGAATAAAGTTGATGGTTCTGGACAGGCACCAGGAACCTTGCTAACACTGTAGCAGTACTTTTATGTCTTTAGACAAAGATTTAAACCAGATATCCCAAAATAGAAAAGGATACTTGTGAAGTTCTACAACTAGTGATTTGAAAATGTTTTTACCCTAATAATCCAAACCACAAACTTTAATGACTGCCTACACTATTCTTTCCACAAAGAAACTCACCAACTTTTCTATCTGACATCTCTGTTTTTTTCCCAGGAATCTGACTGATCATCCAGACCGGAGTATTGTACACACAAATAAAGTTCCATCAAAATGGACTACTTTTTGGATGTCGAGTCTGCTCACAGACTGTTTTACAGTCAAGGAGCCCAAGGTAAGAAATTTTGGCACTATCTCAGACTGACTATTTTAATGGTACAGCTAAGATATATAGGGTCAGTCAATGGCCAGTCCTTGTGACTGAGCTACTGAAATATACACAGTCAATAGGGAAAGGCCTTCAGAATGCATGGGGTGTAAAAGGGATTACAAAAAGAGGCTGATGTGCCCTTTCAGAGGATAAGGAAAAGCTATGTGAAAGCTGCTGGGTGTATGGCAGAAGCAAAATGGAAAACCAAGATCTAGACTCTGGGGTTGCAGAACCAGAGTGGACAAGTCAGAGGGAACAGCCAGCTGCATGCTGTGTTACCCTGTGGTGCCATTCCCCTCTCTCCTTGCTTCTCAGTGCTGTCAGGATCACTCAGTACAGTCCGGTATTACTTTCTGCTGCAGGAATAAATGATTTAGGAAAGATCTGAGATGTTTTAATGTGCTGCATGGAAGCAGCATGCTCTCAGGGGTCTGTGTCCTTCCCAATGAAATGCTGGTCCCGCACTGAACAGAAACAATGCAAGAGTGTGAAGGAGTAATCAAACTTCTTTGCTTTAAGGTAGCTGAAAATTGTTCACAACATAGGTGATATTTTTGGTAAAGTCAGTTCACATTTTTCTCACTAGCTCTATTTTTGGATAAAACAATTTCAAAGAGGAGGGTTTTGTATTCCTTAAACTTCAAGCATCATACTAAACTGAATAAAAATTGAAGGACCAAGCAACTCTATCAACCTTTTACTTTTTACATACTGCCTGCATACTATTCTCTGAAAACACAGTCCAGGTTTTTTCCACTGTTAATTTCATCAATTGCATTCAAAGACAAGCCACCAGAATTTGGCCTTCCCTCTGTAGGTCATCCTCCCAGAGCAAGACCTAATCTACACGGGGAATGCTACCATCCCAGGAGATGTAGGGGTCAGTGCCACTTGACTTTTGGCTCAACTGAGGTGCTGCTACATTGCCCAGCTGCTGCCCCAGTTACTGTGGTACATTTTCATCTGTATATTTCAAAGAAAACTGTTTGAGGGGAAAAAAAACAACACAACTATTGTCAAAACACAGCCCTCTGCATTGAACAACAACAGAGGCAAATGCTAAGCGCCTCAAAGTCAGGTTAAAATTGGCTGAGGGCAATGACTGATTTTGCTCGCTTTTTTACAATCTCTAAAATGCAGTGGATGCCTGAGCATTTTTATAAAAGTGATATTAAAATAGGTTCTTTAATATCCCTGTGGGAACAGTGCCTTTTCTATTCCATAGATACAAAATTTCAGAAATGTACAAGTTACTGCTATGTAATGTACAAGTTATAAGCTGTATCAATTTATCAACAGCACCCTTCCCAAGCATGGCTAGGTACAGAGGACTATGGAAGAAATATGTATTCAAGTAGTGAAAGACAATTACAGCAACATGCACAAGGTGGTTAATAAAGGTTGCACAGGCAACATTCACTCTAAGTATTTCGAAGAAGGCAGGGAAAAAACGTTTTCCCTGTATTTGGAGAAATTATATTGTTAGCACATACAGAATTGCATTACGTTGAAATTTTCACCTTAGCATCTGGTTGAGTCTTCTTTTTAATGCAATCATTTTGCCTTTTTAAATGCAAACAGAAGAAAGAAAGAAAAAAAAAAAACATTATGCAGAAATATATTCATTGATACACAGGTCATCAGGGCAGGGGACTGACCTTAAGATCTGTCATGAGGGCTTTTACCCCTTGGACAAAACAAGTAGGAACCAGCAATGAGAATATGAGACTTTCTGTCCACCCATGTGTAAACCTTTTGTCTAAGACACCAATGACATGCTTCTACTGTGCACCAGAGCATGGTACAGAGGTTCTCAAACCCTCATTACCGCTGTAATTGTAAACAGTGCATTGATATAAGAGCCACTCTGAACTTATGCTCTGTTTCCTTCAACTTTTCACCTCTCTCTCTGCTGTTTGTTATCCCTGCATTTTTTTCTAGCTCCTGCCCTCCACATCACTTACCTCACATGCTTGTGAGCCCTCTTCCCCAAGTGTCTAGTGCTCTCCCCTGCTGAACGTCTATGTTTGGTTGAGGGCAGCTGCTTTCTATCAAGTTGCGTGCCAACAGGGAAATCACCATGAGCAGAGAAGAGACATTTCTGCTCTACTTGCTCAAATGTAGCAACATGGCAATCTCCTGCCAGCAAGGAGAGGTGGTTGAAGATGTGGATGGACAGACAACCCAATTAGCAATAGAAAGTGTGAGAGGTGAAAGGTGGTCTGTGCAAGAGCAGCTTCGGGAGGCTTTCACTGTCTGAGGTAGCACCAAGGATGAGGAGACAGAGTTGGTTTCAGTGGGCCAAACAATAATCCTCTGGAAGAGTTTCAACAACAAATTTTCCTGTAGCAAATGTCTTTATTACCACCCTTAGCCTCAAACTTCTTGATGGTAGCATCCCCTTTCTCTGTGCTCTTAACCCTATTCGGCAAAGAACTCAATGTTATCTCGGCATGCGTTGGTGCTGCTTGTATGGCTCCAATAACTCCTGTCATCTTTGTACCTTGTGCCAAATTTTAAGTCTGTCTTTCACAGCACAGGCATTTCTACATGAGATAATGGCATGATTTCTCCAAATGTGGGCAAAAAGAACCTTTCTTTTTCCTTATCTGCCTTCTGAAAAACAGTTAAACTGCATTAGCTTAAACATTCTGAGACAAACAAAAAAACAACCAAACCCATACTGAGTGTGAGGCACCCATCTAACATATATAGCTTAGCTAACGTAGCTACTTTGGAACTGAAAAAAAAAAAAACAAAAAGTGTGCAAGACAGCACTGCCACCAGATCTACCTAATGGGATCACAATTAACTATTTGATGATAATAAAATAACATGATGTTACTAACAAATCATACTATCACAGAGCTTGTGTTTATGCATTAAAACGGTATTATACCAGAATTGAGTGAAGGAAGACTATGGTATTTTGCCATTTAATTAAAAAATACATCAAAATGCATTACATTTATTATTACTTTAGTTATTATTACAGTTACTGCATTACAATATGCTCTGTTCACAGGCTGTAGAATAAGGGTTTATGACCCACTTACTCTTTCTGTGAGATTGGAATATTTCTGCTTTTTAATCCTTTGATCCTCCAGATCAAGAACAAAAACATGTTCCAATGTTTTCACATTAATGACATGACAATGTTACAAACAACAGCTGGAAAGCACTCATTTTCAACTGTACCCACTCCTTGTGGGTGGAAGAGAAGGGAAGGAACAAGACTGCAAGATGTTTGGAAGGAACTCAAAGAGCTATGATGGCGTTGCTAGCAAAGGATATAAAATCCCAGATGACCTCAGGTCCTCTGCAGTTGCATGCAGGATACCCTGACCTCAGCATAGGGACTGAAACAAGGTCTTGGCACCCAGCAGCTAGCTGGTTCTCTATCCCGTACTGCCTGCACTAATGCCCACATCTCGTTCCTACCCCTGCAGAAAGCTGCAGAGCTGCCCTTGCTGCTGTAGGGTGGGAGGAGAGAGGTGTTACCTTATCAGCTGCCTTCTTTCCCATCCTCTCTTTCTGCAACAGCAGCTTTTACCTCACTCCTGTGGGCTGAGCACAGAACAGAGGATATTTGGCCGTTCAAGGCTGCATGTGCTGTTCAAACAGCTGCTCCCCATTTCCTCCAAGGAAAGTGAAACAGGAGGGATGGAAAGTCCAAAAGCTGTATCTGGCAGCAAAGATTATCTAGATTTAGAAAACTTAGTGAATGAAGCCAGCTGGCTGTAGTCTTCAGATAACAGCCAGAAATATCTTAAGCCCTATCCCGACTGTCTCTTCTGTGGCCGTATGTTAGGATCTAGGAGATGGGGGTGTCCTTGCCAACTGTGTAATGCCTGGTGACGCATCTGCAAGTCAGAAGCAGGAAAGGGACTGTGTCCCTAGATCCAGCCCCTTGCCCCAGGAAAGTCCAAATCTGAAATGTAAATACGGACCTGGAGTTACATTTTTGAAAAAGTCTGCCTTTGAAGTGTGGGGAATTAAAATATTAGTCACTCCTGAATGTCAGTGTATTCTAAACACAAATCTACCATGGCTTGCAGACATAAGGCCTTAAAGCATACCATGGGTCCTGGAGTAGGATGCAGCTCACTTACCTCTTAGGTGTCGTCAGTGAAGACGTTTCCATCCAAGACATCTGACTAGCTGACTAACATGTATCAGTGGAGAGTCTCAGTCATTCTGAGAGCAGAGTTCACCTAATCATAGGCATCTTCCTTGGGATAATATGAATCATGTCTCACTCTCTACACAAATTAAAAAAGCCTAGGGAGTGAACTCAGATGGAAGACAGCTGTGCTAATGGCATTTGTTTGCACAGAAGGAATCCCATGTTGACAAGTAAGAAGGCACCTAACTCAGGAAATGGAGTAACTTCATAAAACAGGTCAGGCTGTAATCAAAAGCGGTAAATTTGCAGACCGTAACAGTGGTAGCCTCATTTGGAGAGACAGCTGGTTTGAAGTTCAACTTTAAGGAACTCCTGCTTTGGGGCTTGCAAAGGAACCCCTCAGAGCTGAGCAAGCTGGCATTGAAGAGCAGCATTAGAAGGCCGCTCCACAAGGGAAAGCGAGCCAAGAGGCAGCAAGACAGGCAGAGGCATGGTCTCTCCTATGAGAGGTAAAGCACTGAAGCACACAAGCAGAGATGGTCACCCAGGTTCAGCCAAGAGTCCAGATCACCACACAAGTCCATGGCAATGAGGAAGGTACAAGGCCAAGCAGGACATTAATCAGCAGCCAGGACATCGATCAGTGAGGAACATAGCCAGCCATGGGCTCAGGAAGCAGGCAAAGGGTAAATGCAGCTCCCAAAGGCAGAAAGCAGTACCTGAGGCTTTTTGGCTTTTTCTTCTACAGCTCCAAGGCTGGTCAGGGTGTCTCAAACTGCTCTCTCCACAGCTGTGTTGTATCAGAGAGCTGGCCTTGAGCACAGGAAATGAAACAAGG